AACAAAACAATAACAATATATATATATATATATATATATATACACATATTTGAACAAAAAATTGTTTATAATTACAATAACGATAACCCTAAAAGAGTTGGGGGAAAAGTAACATCCAACTAGCATAAAAAAGGCAAGCCATCGAATTAACAGAGCCATGGGCGGTGTCTCTATTTTATGAGAATGGATTTGCGATTATTGGATGGAAAAAAATGAATTCATGCAATAATCGCAAATGCACTATCATAAACATGAACCCTTCAGACCCTAACACAAAAATTTAATGTTCAGAAAACATCAGGAAAACAGACGAATCAGAGACTGACCTGGTGTAACCACTGTGGAAATCAATAAAATCAACCGAGAATCTCCAGTTAAAGGAAAACTCCGATAACAGTGAAACGCCAGATATAATTTAGAAGAAAGAGTAAATCTTTCCACGGATACTTTCTTTTATAACTAGAAGTCCAATACAAATTCCAGCGAGATTTCAAAGTTCCGGCCAAACTTCCAAATATTCCAGCGAATGTTACGAATTACAGCAAAGATTCCGAAAGAAAGAAGAGAAGGGCATTGATATCACGGCGCAGAGAAAGAGAGAGAGCATCGCGTTGAACTGTGAAAGCCGCCGAACCGAGACGGTGCCAAGAGAGGGGTGGTTTTTTACCAAACACAAAATATGCACAGGTGCTCCAAGTTTCAGGAAGACACTTCCCATTATCAAAACACATCCTTTAAGTATTTAACGGGTAGATTTTTTATGATACATTTTTTTTGGTATATACTAGTTAATTATGTCTTTAATACTGGATGATAGAAAGAGAGTCATAACATCTAAATTAATTAACTTATTTATATTCATCTAATAAAATTTTTATAGATGAATTAGTTATGGAAAAAATTTATATAAGGTTGCAACCTTCAAATGTAGAATTATATATGCACCTCAAAGTCCATCGAAAAAAGATTATTTTAATGTTGAAAGACCCTCTAATTGATCATCTCGATATCAAGATATATGACTTTGAAAAAAAAAAAGATTTTAGTCTCATAAATAATGCATCTTGCAACACATTATCTAAACCGTCCATTTTCAATATTTTTATATGTTTATAGATCTACTTGATTTTGATTTTGACCATTTTTAGATTTTAAAATTTTATAGTAAGATATGAAAATAGATTTTGAGATTATCCTAATAATTTTGTACACCAAAATTACATGTTATGATAAAATTTGGAGGTGCGTCATAATTGGATTGTTTAAGGTTGCAACCTTAGAGAAACCACACCCATTAATTATTGATGACATAACTTTTATTTTTTAGAATTTTAAAATTTCTAATATTATAAATGTATCCAAATTTTTTACTCTGATTTTTTGAGCCTAATCCGATATATTAGCGATATCTTTATATGAAGTTTTTTTGCCGATCTGTATTTTTACCCGATTTTTCCATCTAACTTTTTTAAATAAAAACGATTTGCTTTCAATTTTATGGTGAGCTGATTTATTGATAGTCCTCGACTTGCTAACTATGGTATTACTCCGTGGTACGGCCCATTGTTTAAAAACTCGCATATTCGAATCAGAATTGGTGGATCCAAATCGAAATTGACGGATGTGAATCGAAAATCGCCTCATCCAAACACCCTGACAAACCGGCGATTCACTACAATATAATTGCCGATTCCACTAATCAATTCCACTACTCGGGCACAAAGTTTTCATGGGTTTTCAAGCTTTCGATCCACTTTCGGTCGTTGTAATCTTTTTTTCAGATAATAATTATTGCTCCTAAATAATTGAAAATTGCTTTGAAAACCAGTATTTGTGGATTTTGAGAGAAAATGTGAGATTTGGCGATCAAAATGAGGGTTTTTTTTTTTTTTTTTTATTTGCATAAACCACCTTCCAATCGACTTCAACCTCGATTTGTAACCAACTTTCCTAAAATTTGATTGCATTTAAAGATAATTGAATCCTACACAATATTTTGGTGCGAATTTGTTCGATTGAACTAGGATACCCCATTGATTTTGCTTCCAAAGCCAAGAAATCAAAAAGTTCATGGAATTTACACTATCAACCAAATTCGAAGAAAAAAATGCAAATTTGGGTTGATTTTCATTAGATTTCAATGGGGTTTATGATCTATAGAGCATTAGCTCTCATGTAAATTTAATTTTGTTTCTTATGTTTTCTATAAATATTTTTTTGCATGAATGTACCACATATTATGGTTTCACTATTTCAATCCGTTCTCCCTTGTATATGAATCAACTTCCTTAAAATTTTATTAAAAAACTATTGTAGGGGACCTTTCTTCCATATTACATATTCAATACAACGTACAATGTGTGTATATATATATATATATATATAAATGAGTAATGATCCTATAGGACATTCCTCACCCATATGTATAGGACCCCAAATAATCATTATTAAAGTTGGTATAGATCTCTATAAAAGTTATCACATGTTAGACTTGACTTTTCTAAAGATCTATGTTAAATTTAATGGTGATCCTTTGGGATCTTACACACATAGGTGGGGCAGGATCCTATAGGACCATTACTCTATATATGTATATATGGTTTGTCTAGAGTTAACAACCCCTAAAAATAGAAAGGTTCAAGTTAGAAGGAGTTGTGATGAGTGTATCTATCAAAATAATGATTATTTTTTTATTAAAAAATTATTTAAATTTACCCAGGAAAAGTAACTTTTTCAAAAAATAGACTACAAAATTAATAAATCCACCATTCACAACTCTCTCTATCTTGAACCTTTGTAATTTGAAGGGTTGTGAAGTTTAGTATATCCCACATGTGTGTGTGTGTGCGTGTATATATATATATATACCAATTTCGGCGGCGCAAGATCTACCCTATCTTATCCTACGGATTTTATCATAAATAGGCAAAGATAACAGAGTTATAAGCTATTAATTGTTGGAGAAGTGTAACATAATATAGAAAAGCACTTATGAGAATTAAAGCAGAAATCCAAGATATATCAAGAACAATCCACGAAGTATGAGTAAGATTGCGAATTTAAAAGTAAATACAAATTTCAACTGCATCATAGATTAAGAAAGAAACAACATAACTTACTGTTTACATATACATAAACTGGCAAAGTGTTTCCACTCGGAGGGATAGTAAGAAGATAGAGAGGAAATATTACAATCACACATTTAAAGTAGTAAGAGGTTACCGACTTGATGTACAGATGACTGAAGAGAATAAACCTACTGTCTACAGAAAATAGAAGAAAGCAAAGTAGAAGAGAGAGGCAAATGAGAAAGTATGAAACTATGAGTCCATATGTTGAGCTTGCTTCATATGCTTTCTTTGTAGTCCTTGCGAAGTCTGTCTTTCCTTGGAGAAGGGAGGAGGTTTTTATAGGCACATGACGAAGTTGGATGCCTTCGTGTCGAAGGAAACTGTGTGGCTGAGGAAGGATGTCGTAATGGCGAAGGACGCTGAGTGGCTGAGAAGGATGCCGTAATGAAGAAGGAAGCTGAGTGGCTGAGAAGGGATGTCGTAATGGAGAAGGAAACTGAGTGGAGTCACATGGATGGTGAAAGCGGACACATGGAGGACGCAGGAGGTGGCCGTACATTTGTGATGGTGATGGCGAATCTTTTGTGCGAGATGGCAGTCGTATGTGCAGGCGTCAGGGAATCAGGAGAGGCCACGTATGCAAAGGTATGGCCTTGATGTGACTCGAAATTAGTCACATCGGAGGAAACGGAGCATCTTCACTGTGGAGGGTCATATCAACTTTTATAGTGGATGGCTTTATGCTTGTTAGGTCATATCGATGTTTATAGTGGAGTCATATCAATTTTTTAGGGGTTATATCAACTGCAGAAACTACCGGGCCGGGCTACTCATCGGGTCTTTGACTGAAATCTTCGAGAAGCGGGTTGTCTGACTGTATAGTTTCTTCTGAAGTGGTTGGTCCTGGATTTGGTGCTGCGAAAATATGAAAACGTTGTTCTTCCAGTTCTTCTAATGTAGCATTTGGATGTGACCGTCTCATCTTTTTGAGATACGCAGAAAAAGTGGGAAGACTGACAGTATTATTTTTTTGAGGTTGCAGTACATCGAATTGAGGAGGTATGCGTTTGAGTGTCAAAGAGGAGGGTTTAGTACTGTAAATATCCCACCATTTGATTTTGATGGTTTTACAAAGGCGAGGGACATATTCAAAATTATTGGTATTATTTTTAGAAAGAGTGTAATCCCATTTTAGAATCCATGGGATTTGATAGATAGCCATAAAGTATAGGTGATAATCATCTTGGGAAGTGCATGTATTATGAATGGCAATTTTTTCTTGAAAGGCTTGAAATTCATCTGGTAATATTTGAGTATGTGATCCCCATATCAGGAACCAATGTTGGAACCAGCTAGGGAACCGTTCCAAGATAGAGAATTTAAACTGGACATATCAAGAATGAGTATTATTTAGATTTTGATATGCAAATACCTTATGTCAGGCCTCAATATACTCAGCATACTTATAATATTTGTATTGGAATTCAGGATTTGCTAACTTTTTGCATTGCTTAGGGTTATTACCCCAATCTTCATAAGATAATAATTTTTTAATTTGTAGCTTAGAATATGCATATAGCTTAGTATTACGTTGATAGAAATGTACGATGGATACTGAACCAGTTTCCATGAGTACAGCCTCATACCATTCACGAGTTTTGGCGCCATTGGTAGGGTTCAAGTGATTAATAAGATATAAGGGAGCTAATTTATTTGGGTCAATGTTTATATGCTTGTCGCATATGGGTATATCAGCCAGAAATGCGGTTTCAACATAAACTGACTTAAAAGCGGAGGGAGTTTGTCTATTTGGGTAAGCAGCTGGAGTAAATACAGGACTATAAGTTTGTATTGGACTTTGAGGAGGAGTCTGGATGAAATATTCTGGTACATTTGTCGACCGCATGGGTGACATAGGTGTTATTGGTAAAGAAGAACTGGGCATAAGAGGCCCAGATATGGGACAGGGTACCAAGTCCATTTTTTGTTTACCATGATTGTTACCTTGAGATGTATTCATATTTGTATGAGTATTTTGCAAAAATAACTGTAAACCGTAAGGAATACTATCTGGCTCAGGTAGTGGTGGTAATATACGGCCCGCCCTGCAGAAATTCACGGGTAAGAAAGTCAGGTAACAAATTAGTAGAGCCGGGAAGATGTTCAATAGAAAAATCAAAAGCAGATAATATCGCTTGCCAACGGGCAAATATTTGTTTGGAAACAAGATTTTGAACATCCTTTTGCAGAATGTCCTTAGCAGCTTTACAATCAAGAAATGTTGATTCAAAATATCACTTTGAAACTTAGTAACACAGTGTATAATGGCAAGTAATTCTTTTTTGATTGTAGAATAATTCATTTGTGTATGATTTCATGCTTTAGAAGTAAAGCGAATTAATTGCTCAGTAGAATCACACCGTTGTTTTAGTATACTGCCGAGACCTAAATCAGAGGCATCGCATTCAATGATTTTAAATACAGTAGGATTGAGAAGTGTTAAGCAAGGTAATTCTTTGGCCTTTTGCTTAAGTCGTTGAACAGCCAAAGTATGGATCTCATTCCATGGGGGAGGATTCTTTTTTAACCTATCATATAAAGGTTTGGCTTCTATGGCAAGATTTTG